TTTAAAATTAAAAAAATTAAATTCAGTACAACTTTTAAAAATTTTAGAAAACAAACTACCCTATACCTATACTGTTTGCAAAATGAGGAGATGTAGAAATAAACATACGTGTTTACATGAAATCTGAATGATATATATAAATTTTAAGATATTTTAGAGAGTCTTGTACATTACCTTTTATTTCAGTTTATTTTTTAAACCTCTCTTTATACCCTGGAATGTAATTATATTTCTTACATTTCTCATAAATGTCAATTTATTAATCTGTACTGCCAAAGTAACCACAATGAATGTCAATTTATGTAGAAAAAGGTAAACATAAAATTATCATATGATCCAGGAACTCTACTCCAAAGAGTTTACCAAAAAAAAATGAAGTCATAATCTGTCAAAGGACAAAATCACAATAATTTAGTTTAAAAGCCTTACTTGGCTTTGCTTGTGATTCTAGAATCGGGCAGCACTTTTTTCCATAAAATAGAACACGTGCACGGATAATCTGACCAGAAAAGGCTACTGAAAAAGGCAGAAACAAAGAACAGAAGGCAGACTGGTCATTTCAAAGTTACTTTTCCTGTCAGGCACAGACCGAGAGAAAGAACAATAGCAAAATAAGCGACTGGTTAACCTCAGGTTACTTCCAGTTACCTCCTTTTTCTTTCTTTTTTTTTTTTTTTTTTTTGTTTGTTTTTTTTTCAGTACCGGGAACCGAACTCACGACCTTGCGCTTGCCAGGCAGGCGCTTTTGCCGCTGAGCTAAATCCCCAGCCCCCAGTTGCCTCCTTTTTCTATAAAGACTGAGGCTGACAGAATTTCATTACCATGCGCATTGAAACACCGTGTACAGGAAACTTGAGGGTAGTCTCGCCCTCCTGGTTTCTTGGGAACTAACAACAATTTAGTTTCTGTTTGGTGAAATGGAATCTTAGCGCGATGACTTTAGTCTGATTTTTAGTCAGCTTTGTCAGAGCTTCGTGTAGGAGCTTTGTCCATAACGATGATGTACAGTTTTTGCTTAACAGTTAACACAAAAACATGTACACAAATGTTCACGGCTGCGTTATTCATAAGAGCCGATAAGCAGAATTATCTAGATGTTCATCAGCTAATGAGCACACGCACACTTGCGCAGACCCACGCAGGAGAAGCATTCTATCACAAAAAGAAATTAAGTACTGATACACACTGTGCCACGGGGAATTTTGAGTAAAATCGTTCTAAGGGAAAGAAGCCAGACGCAAAGGAACACCTATTGTGTGATCCCATTTATATGGGGCAGGACAGGCAAATTCATGGGCATAAAATGTAGCTCAGTGATTGCCAGGGGTAGGGAAAGGCGGGTAAGCGACTGCTAGTGGGTGTGCAGGGATCTGTCTTTTCTCACGGGGATGCTTCACGAATTTGCACGTCAACCTTGCACGGGTGCCGTGCTAACCTCCTCTGCATGCTCTGACCCTAGCATATATGCTGCAGAGCAAGCACTGGAGGCTTTTCCTTCTGATGAGAAAATATTTTGGAACTAGTGGTGATGGTTGCATAATGCCGTGAACATACTAACATCCACTGAGTTGTACACTTTAAAGAGATGAGTTCTGTGTCGTGTGCGTTATCTCTCAATGCTATTCCAAACAAAAGCTATGGAGAACTAGCTACTTCTCAAAACCTAGCTGTGGGTCGGGCTCAGGCCAAGGGCACGTACTGAGCGCGTCTAAGGCTCTGGAATGAATCCCCAGCGCCAAGCAAACTGCACCCCGGGGCCCCCGTCGCCCCGGGACCACCGGGCGGCGTGGGCCCCGCGATGCACCGGTGGGGCTGAGCTGCAGGGTGGGCCCCGGGTCTCTAACACGTCCGCCGTCACTGTCTGACTGATTTCCGGGTGCCACCGGCTCGCTGGTTACTTCTGATGGCTTAGTTTTCTTTTACAAAACGTGACTGCTCCCCGCGTCATTCTCTGCGAATTACTGTGATTTGCTGGCGTCCTAGGCTGGTGCGGATCTGGGAAGAACGAGTGAGTCTGACCAAGCTGAGAGAAAAAGTCACCAGGGAAGACGGACGAGTCATTCTGAAGATAGAGAAGGAGGAGTGGAAGGTAAACTCCAGAACACCTGCTTGTGTCCTCTGCGGGGAGGGCGCGCAGAACGCCCGCGGGACCCGCAGACCGCGGTAGCTGGGGACTCTAACTTTAACAACGCAGGCGCTCCCGGGCAGCATAACAACCGCAGAGAAATACAACCCCGCAGGCTTTCTGTAGAAATTCAATTCGCTTCAACCCCAGCCTAAGTCCTTTCTGTCATTTCCTTTCCTAATACTCGTAATCAGCATTTTCTCTTCCCACAACAAATGATCATCTGCCTTCTGAAAATCTTACAGCGTTTCCAAAGAAATGCTTGATTAAAATTTCATAAAAAGCCGGAGATGTAGCTCAGCAGCATAGCACCTGCCTGGTAAGCGAGCGGCTCTGAGTTCGATTCCCGGTACCTCCCCGCCCCCAAATTCATAAACAGGAAATATTTTTAATTAGGTGTACTTTCTTCTTCGTGCTTATTTTCTCTCTTTACATGCACTCACACACACAGCTGCTCAACTGCATTAGGTATCCTTTAATTTTTGTAAAGGTCTCTAACCTTTATAAAGAGTTTATACTATAGATATATTAAACTAGGTGTTTAGTTCATTTCTTTTCTCCTCTCTGTTTTACACGGAAAGGGAAATGATGTAGAGCTAAAAACAGTTGAAACTCCTAAAATCCCTAACTTAAAAAAAATTTCTTTAAAAAGTCTCTTATAAAATACTTCAAAATCAGGGCTGGGGATTTAGCTCAGCTGCACAGCGCCTGCCTGGCAAGTGCAAGGTCATGAGTTCGATTCCCGGTACCGGAAAACAAAATAAACAAACAAAAAACAAAACAAAACAAAACAAAACAAAACAAAAAACCCCAAAACTTCAAAATAGGAGTGGAAGTGATATAGGAAAACACTAACTCCCAACTCGCTATGCGTCAACCGTGTTGATCCGTGGTCCCACAGTGTGAAGGGACGGAGGTGAGAACCCAAGGAAGAGTTAGGAGAGCTTTCTGGAAATAAGAACAGCCCCTGGCTTTCCAGGAGGGGTCCGAATGGGGTGATCTATACAGCAAAGTCGCAATGTGGGTACAAGGTGGGTCAAACCACAATTAACCCATGAGATTACAAGTACAGCCACTTAGCTAATATTAGGGATGCTGTGCTCTTAGCTCACAGAAAACGTCGCCGGGGAAGACGGAAGAGTCAGGGGAACCGGTGGGGAACAGGTCGTGCAGCAAGGGTGCGTGGGAGGAACACAGGCGCTTGGGGGAAGGGTGCGTCCGGATGCTCTGGTCACTCACTTCTTTGACTGATGCCTATCTGGACTTAATGGTTCGGGTGGTGCTAATTACAGATCATTCCAATTCCTGTTTATCCCGTGGGGAGGCGCTCAGGTCGGCCGTTGTGTCTTTATCTTGGGCCTGGCCTTCTTCAGATGCTTCTCCGGCCACAATTCTGATGTATTTCTTTCTTTCCTTCTCTGTCCTTCTTTTCTTTCCTCTCTTTCTTTCTTTCTTTCTTTCTTTCTTTCTTTCTTTCTTTCTTTCTTTCTTTCTTTCTTTTCTTTCTTTCTTTTTCTTTCTTCCTTCCTTCCTTTCTTTTCCTCTTTCTTTCTTTTTCTTCCTTCCTTTCTTTCTTTTTCTTCCTTCCTTTCTTCCTTCTTTCTTTCCTTTCTTTCTTTTCTTTCTTTCTTTCTTTCTTTCTTTCTTTCTTTCTTTCTTTCTTTCTTTCTTTCTTTCCTTTTGCTAACTTCCTTGAGAGTCCAGTCCCTCTTTGACTACTGTGGTATTTATTTCTAACTTAGCTGCCTTTAAGAGAAGAAAGGTTTCAATTACTGCTTAAGATAACTTTTTGTATATTCTTGTTTTCAATAGCATATATACTCCAGGAAAGCCTAGCAGAATAGAATCTTTATGACAGATATCTATGAGTGTGCATTATTAACCAAAATGTAGTATTTTTGTTTATTCTGATTGCATCAGCAAGCAGAGACACCAAAACGGTTCCCAGGATTTGGAGGTAGATTTGTTATCAACAGGCACTGATCAGGATCATTCCCAGAATATCAGGCCCTGATGTCTGGTGGCCTAGGGCTTACATGGGGTAAGCAAGCAGGAAGTGCAGAGGCAGAACGGCTTGTCAATTGGGAACTGGTTTATAATTGGGAACTGGTTTATATGGTACATCATAGTGACCAGCTGTGCATCACAGTGGCTGGACATTTCTAAGAGACAGGAGCAACCGGAACTGGAACAGGAACTATCACCTGGGCAACTAAGAAACCGAAGTACACTAGCTGGGGTGGGGGGCATTTTCTGCTACATATTTAGGATTTAAAGTTTAAAAAAGAAAAAACAAGTCAGGCATGATGGTACACGTTTGTAATCCCAGGACTTGTGAGGCCAAGGCAGAAGGATTGCTGTGAGTTCAAGGCCAACCTGGGCTACAAAGTGAGTTCAAGGCCAGCCTAAAATACATTGCAAGATCCCCTCTCAATACTTCTAGGTAAATGGATGCACCTCGAGACCATAATCTTAAGTGAAATAAATCGGACACGTGTAAATATTGCATTGTTTCTCTGGTGTGAGAAGCCAAAAGTGTAAACAAGGACCAAAATGTGGAATAGGTATTGTGAAACGGGAAGAAAATGTTCAAATGGGGAGGGGAACAAGAGGAAGGGAAGGAGGAGAGGAAAGATGGGAAAAGTAAAAAAGAAAAAAGAAAAAAGGGGAAAAAAGATTCTGTCTCAAAACAAAACAGAAAAGAAAAAAAGAAAGAGTGAAGGTCTTACAGTTGAGAAGTAACATGAAGTAGTTGGACATTGAACCCATTAAGGAATAGCTATTCCAAAATGCTGTTACAAATCAAACATCACGCTTCGGTGTGGATGGCGCTAAGATTATTTACGTGACGCGGTGACTCTGTGGTTCCTTTTAGATTCTCCCTTCGTCTTTACTGAAATTGAATCAGCTTCAGGAATGGCAACTGCACAGAACTGGTTTGCTGAAAATTCCTGAATTCATTGGAAGATTCCAGAACCTCATTGTGTTAGATTTGTCTCGAAACACTATCTCAGAGATACCCCCAGGAATTGGTAAAGATTGATTTTATTCCTGTGCTGTTTTATGTACCTTCAGATGCCCTTTTTGAGGGGGAGGAGAACAGGCTCCCGAGTAGCTGGGATGACAAGCGTGCCGGGCTCAGAGGGGCTGTCTATTGATTTTTTTTTTTTTGGTACATGGATTAAAGATCTCATCTTTCTATATCCCTGAATCTTGAGACAAATTTACATATGTAATCTAAATTGAAGCTTCCAGGGAATCCAAGTTTCTAGATTTACCTAAGTAATTCAGGATGAGATTGTAACGTGGGGAAACTGGCATAGGAAACCTTGTTCTGTAGATGTTGAAAGCAGTACTGCTGGCTTAATTATTCCACTTAACTAGGTTAAGAGAGGTTGAACACAGTAAAGAAACATAGAAAGGTTCATTGAACAGGGGGAAAATGTCCCTGATGGAAAATCGTAGAGTATTTTTTGATTGTTGTGCTGCATGTTTAACTCAGGGCTTTCTGAGTGCTAAGGAAATGCTCTCCTACTGAGCGGCTCTTCCGGCCCAGTATGTAGTGCGGCTAGCACTAAACATGGTTACCCTGTCTCCCCTGGCACTGATAAGCCCGCCTTGTGTCCAAGGAAGAAACAGTAAACTGGGGAAAGGAAGAGTATAAGAACTGCGAATTTGCCACTACACCCATCATCAATGCTGTAAGACTTGATAACCGGAAACTGCTTTCCCTTGTGTGCTATTTTTTTTCCATAGGACTGCTCACTAGACTTCAGGAACTAATTCTTAGCTACAACAAAATCAAGACTGTCCCCAAGGAGCTAAGTAACTGTGCCAGCTTGCAGAAGCTAGAACTGGCTGTTAACAGAGATATATGTGATCTTCCACAAGAGGTCAGAAAGGTCTAACTAGTAGTTATTAGAGCTGCTGGTTATTTCTCCATTGTGTGATTGTTAACAAATAAGACTAATAAGGAAATGCTATACATTTTATTTCAGAAAAAAGTTTTTGTTGAAAAATCATTTCCTATTATTTTAAGGTTGGATTTTACTTTATTTTATTTTATTTTTTGTTTGTTTGTTTGTTTTTTCCGGTACCGGGAATCGAACTCATGACCTTGCACTTGCCCGGTAGGCACTGTGCTGCTGAGCTAAATCCCCAGCCCCTAAGGTTGGATTTTAATTAAAGATCAATTTTACATAAATATTTCTTCATCGTCACAGCCCTGACATCATTTGTTGACTATCATCTCGGAGGCCAGAATGAGAGTTTTGTTTATTAAATTCCCAGAATTGAGGGCAAGTCAAGATTGTAGTGATTGCTTATTAAATATTTTTTAATGAGCGAATAATTATTATAAAGCCACAATGTAGAGATAGAATGATCAGTTCTCAAGACAGAAAAGTAAGATGTGAATGCAGGAAATGTTTCTTGCTAGCTTCCTAAACTATCAAGTAACAGTGAGGCAATGCAATTAGAAAGCCTTCAAATTTTATTTTGGCATGATGTCATCGGTTAAACCAAATTGATCATATAAAAATAGCCAGGTGTGGTGGTGCACACCTGTAATCCCAGCACTCAGGAGGCTGAGGCAGCAGGATCACTGCAAGTTCAAGGCCAGCCTGGGCTACAACGTGAGCTCAAGGCCAGCCTGAAGTGCTGGCCTTGTCTCAAAAATAGCAAGACCCTGTCTCAAAAAAGACAAAAAAAAAAAAAAAAAAACACTTTTAGTACATTTCAAACATACTTAATGGTATTAGAATCAGCAAAGGAAATTTCTTTCCATGGTGTTTTGCCTTGAAAACAAGTTTACAAGATAAAAGTTAAGAAAAGTCAATAAAAGTCAAAATATAGCTTATTTTAGCTTTAGCTGATTTTCTTGAGGAGCATATCAGACCTTTGTCTCCAAAACTAGTGAACATATCATGAATAATAGTTGCTCTTGCAAGTCAAATAAATTTCATTATACAATAGTTACATTTAATGAAACATATAATGAGAAAAATTACAAACAGACTTTTTCTCATAAAGACTAATATATATATGTATAGTTTCTAGGACTGGCTCCGTCACTAACAAGCTATATAAATGTGTGTATGCCTCACTCAGTCTTTAGCTTAGTTTATTCACTTGGTGACATGTTACACCAGAAGAAATACTGAACTAAGGCCTTCGGCCTGAGATGGTTTAATTCTCACAGTGTAGCCTCTGAGTAGCCATGTGGCCTTGGACACACCATTTGCATACCTCGATCTCAGTTCTGACGTGTGCAAAATTAGGACTGTTGTCATTGTCTTATTATCTTTTCAATTTTCCAAAATAAAAACATTCTAGTACTACCAAGAGGCCGGCAATTGGAGTAATCTGTCAAACATTAATTGTACACACTATATACACACAAATATATATATGTACTAATATAAAAGCAATCTTTTTATACTCTGTTTTGAACCATTTGAACATTTCCGGAATCTGTTTGGGAGATTTTGCAGAAGGTGTATTCATGATATGAATCCAAAGCTGGAGAAACAGCACCCCCTGCTAGACAGAACCCTGCAGCTTTTTTGTACTATTTATTGTGTTTATGTGTGTGTGCGTGTGCACGTGTGTGTGTGTGTTGCTGATGTTGCAGAAAGAATCTGAACATCTTCTGAAATGGAAATGAAATATTAGCATCTTCCTAGCCAAATGCATAGCTTTTTATTTGGTTTGATTTGGACTTTTGGTAAAAATTAACTACATAGTCATACCCCAAAACTTTTCACCAGATGTAGAAGTAGAAAAGAAATTCTGTGGCGTTAGGTCCACAAAACTTGAGTTCACAAATCAGGTGTGATGGCACACACCTGTAATCCCAGCTCTTAGGAGGCTGAAGCAGGAGGATCGCTGCAAGTTTGAGCTCAGCCTGGACATTGTGAGTTCAAGGCCACCCTGAACTACATAGCGAGACCCTGTCTCAAAAAAAGAGCTCTATCATTTTTATTTTCACAACTTGTTTGAACCATTGTATCCATAAAGTTGCAATAATGACACTCCCTTTGTACAGCTGATGTCAGAATTCTAATTAACTTCAGGTACAATGGTGGACCACTCATGTAGTTTTCTCAAACAAGGTGGGAAATACAGATAAACAAAGATACATTTAAATGAATAAACTAGATCAATATGCATCAATATGAATATATTTAAAAACTGATAAGAGGGGCTTGGGATTTAGCTCAGCGGCACAGCGCCTGCCTGGCAAGCGCAAGGTCGTGAGTTTGATTCCCAGTACTGGAAAAAAAACAAAAAAAAAAACAAACAAAGCAACAAAAAAAAGCTTGATAAGATAAAAAAGCAAGTGAAAGAAAGATGAGTATAGTATCATACTCCTTAAATTAAAACACATGAGGTATTAATTTTATGAAAATACAAGTTATATATAGAAACACAGAGGAAACATTTATGTATAGTAATAAAAACATAAAAATGTGCATCACAATGGTAGGTATATTCAGGATAGGCACGGTCCCTGGGGAAGAAAGGAGGTGCATACCGTGGGTACAGTCATATCAATATATGTTTTATTGTTTTTTCTTTTTGTGGTGCTGAGAATTGAACCTAAGACCTTTGCACTGAGCTACGTCCCCACCTTTTGGTTTTAAAATTATTTTGAGCAAGGGTCTCACCAAATTGCTAAGTTGCTCGAGACGCACTGGAACTTGTACTCCTCCCAGAGTGGGAGACTACGGGTGTGCACCGCCGTGCCCAGTAGATATTTTTGTTCTCAAACTGCGCACCCTGGTGTGTAGTTTATTCTTAATGATTTTTAATTGCTTATTTCATTTAAAAATAGAATTACCAAGCATTAAATTCAGTGTTGGAGATAATGTACACAAATTACCAGGCATGAAGTTTCAGGAAAAAGAACTATTATGAAGATTAAATTTCTCCATCCATTTCTCAACTGCTAGTTGAAAGGTAATCAAAGAAAACAAGTTTTGCCACCCGCCCGGGTCCTATCAGCCCTGGAAATTGCTTAGTTTGGAGGATGAATTTCCTTTCAACAGATGCATTTCTTTATACCCCCTTTTGGTGGGGGGTGCTAGGGATTGAACCCAGGGCCTGACATAGGAACTGCATCTCGAGCCCCAACCAGATACAACTTCTATCAGTTTTTCCTTTCACTGGAAGATATTCAGATTTATTTTTATATTTAATTTGTTGTGGCCTACTGTGTTTAAAGTCCAAGTGTAATGTGAACATTCTTTGATATGGAATGTTTCTTATATCAATGTGAGTCTTTTAGTAGTTTACATTGTACAAATTTATTTTGAAAAGCCTTGCTTTCCTCTTCAGCTCAGCAATCTCCTAAAACTTACCCACCTTGATCTGAGTATGAACCACTTTACTACAATCCCTCCTGCTGTGCTGAACATGCCTGCCCTCGAGTGGCTGGACATGGGGAGCAACAGACTTGAACAACTTCCCGATACCATAGAAAGGTAAAATAAATAGCTTTTGATGCTACTGACACACAGCTTAAAACCACCTACGAAAAATAACAGACAACTAACTAGACAAGACAAAAAGGATCCCAGGCATAACCAACAGGAGAAGACCTAGGTAGTTTGAGATATGCTGTGTTTCAACAGAACGTTTTTATTTATTCCAAATAAGTAAGAAAAGCATAGGGAGTGGGGAACTGGCTGACTTCAAGACATTAACAAGAATATGTCGGGCTGGGGATATAGCTCAGCGGCACAAACTCCTGCCTAACAAGTGCAAGGTCCCGAGTTCGATTTCAGTACCCCTAAAAAAAAAACCAAGAATATGTCACAATGGTAACAACATTGCTTTGTGCACGCCAGAAATTTCTGTACACTTGAGAAAGGATTGCCCGAGGTCAGTTAACGGCATTTAACTAGTTAGGAGCTGAACTGAGGCGACCTGGCCTGAGTCCCTGCTGTTCACCCGTATGTGCGCTACCTTGACCTTAACGGGCATCGTAATGGCTTCTCTGGAGCCCTCCGCTGCTGCCCCACCCTACACTGTGCTTTGAACCCAGGGCCTTCATTCACGTTGAGCTTCATCCCCACCCCTTCTTAAAATTGAGCTAAGTTACCCACACGAGACTGAATTTGTGATCCTCCTGCCTCAGATTCCCAGAGAGCTGGGGTTACAGGCCTATGCCACCACGCCCAGTCGGCATGGTAATAATTTCTGATTATTCTTGCAAAACTCAGATTAGATAGCACCTACGATTCTTTAAGAAAACTGTGAGAAAAGTGAAGACTTCTAAACTACGTTGCTTTCATTTCTACCAGCACAGGATATGAGTACTATATTGTAGAGATTAACTCGCTGATATAGTCTCCCTAGTAACCAGGGAATGTACTCAGTTAATTCAATAAGCATATTGGCTAAATGAGATACTGTCAGATAACATCTGATTTTTAAGGTAATAAGAATTCAGCTTTTCATAGTATATATATTTTTTTATTTTATGGAAAAAAAGGTAAAACAAAATTTCATAACAAAAAATAGGAGAGTTAGGGGCTGGGGATTTAGCTCAGCGGCAAAAGCGCCTGCCTGGCAAGTGCAAGGTCGTGAGTTCGGTTCCCGGTACCGGAGAAAAACCAAAAAAAAAAAAAAAAAATAGGAGAGTAACAATAGTTAATACGTTACATGTTACCTTTAAAGGAGTTGATCAGGGCCCAAGATATGGGCATAAAAATTTCTCCAATCACTATTAGCACAAATCTGCCTTTTTAATGAACTGCAAGACACTAATAGTGTAACTGATTTGCATTATTTCCCTTTTCTCTACTGTCTTTCCCCCTTTCATCCATCCCAGTTCCTTTTTCCTTTTCAACAATTTCTTCCCATTTCACAATACCTATTGTACAGTGTAGACTTTATTTACTTTCATTTTCTCACACCAGGGAGAAAATAGTGTTTACACATGAGTCTGATTTATTTCACTTATGACTCTGGTCTCAAGTTGCACCCATTTACCTATAAAAGTCTCAAATTTATCCTTCTATATGGCTGGGTAGTATCCCATTGTATAAAAATATATCTTTTTTTATCCATTCCTTGGTTGATGGGCACTTGGGTTGTTTCCAAGATTTAGCTATTACAAATTGTGTTACTGTAAACATGGGTGCACATATATCGCTGTGGTACGATGTTTTTAATTCTTCTGGGAAGATACCCAGACGGGGAACAGCTGAGTCCAGTGGGTGCTCTAACCCTGGTTTTTTTCAGAATGCAGAATCTTCATACACTGTGGCTACAACGGAATGAAATAACATGCTTGCCAGAAACAATCGTCAGTATGAAAAATCTGGGTACTCTTGTTCTCAGCAACAATAAACTGCAAGACATCCCAGCATGCATGGAGCAGATGGCCAGTCTGAGGTAAAAAGCTGCAGGCATAAAACTGACCTGCTCGGGGCTGGGGCTTTAGCTCAGCGGCAAAGCGCCTGCCTGGCAAGCGTAAGGTCATGAGTTCGGTTCCTGGTACCGGAGAAAAACCAAAAATAATAATTAATAATAATAATAATAATAAAATTGACCTGCTCATTTCAGGCCGCAGGACACAGTAATGTGGAAAAATTGTTCTGAATAAATTTGATTTATTTCTATGAATGTGTGTATACATTATGAACGTATATATTTTTAAAACACTGTGTTGGATTCTAAACACACACACACACACACACACTTTTTTTCAGTACTGGGGACTGAACCCAAGGATGTACCCCAGCCCTCTCACCCATTTTTTATTTTGAGACAAGGTCTTGCTAAGTGGGCCAGCTCAGGCTTGAACTTTCAATCTTCCTGCCTCCGCTTACCAGAGTGCTGGTATTACAGGCAGGCACCACGGTGCCCAGGAGAAACTACATAATTTGATAAATAGGATTCATATAATCTGTTCTCAACTATTTAAAAAACTTGAAACTCAGACAATACTGAGATTTATCAGCTTTAAGAAATGTCTTACATCTGTAACATTTTCATGAAAATTCTCTTTGTACTTCTAACACACCTGATTAGCAAAATAAAAACCAAAAAGATAAACACAACTATTTACCTCCAAAGTAACTACAAATGGACACAGGTGTTACATGACGTAACTGATAGTGTGATTTTTTAGTAATTACTATCAGAACGCCATTGAGTGTTTCCTTTCCAAGATCTAACTTGCTGACGGTGAGAATAAGACAGTAGACACCAACACTTCCACAGCAAAACCACACGTTCATCTGTTCACACGGCGTCACTCCCCGGCCTTCATCTACTCCGCAGCTATTAGTCCTGCAGCGGATGAAGACACAGTGAGAAGGAAGACACACTCAGTCAGCAACTAAATTCATAGCATCACTTGTGTATTTAAGACGCATTAAAACTGCTCTTAAAAGTTAAACTATCAACTGTCAAATCAATGCTATGAACAAATAGTTGCTATACTTATAATCTTGGAAAGTAAGTTGTCTACAGCGAGTATTTTTCTTCTTCTAGGAAAGAAACAAAGATTCTTGGGACACATCACAGCTCACCAAGATGTTCAGTTATTAAAGCCAGTTTTTAAAAAAAAAAAAAAAACAAAAACCAGCCATTTAGTATATTATCACTTAACCTTTATCCAGGGAGACGGACACTCTAAAATTGTTTTTTTTTTGTTGTGTACGTGCGTGTGCTGCTAGGTTCGTCAACTTTAGAGACAACCCGCTGAAGTTAGAAGTAACTCTTCCTCTTGGGAACAGTGCAGAGGAAGAGGAGGAACGCGAATTATTCGGCCTTCAGTTCATGCACATCTACATACAAGAGTCCCGGAGAAGAGCAGGTACGAGATCTGTACGCAGTACAGGCTAAATCTTTCTTTTGGGGGATTACAGGAGTGCATATATAATCGAGCTCTACCTTATGGGTTCCTTTGATTTCTGTCTTACTTTTTCTATACAATTCTGGCCTTTGGGTCAATACTGTGGGGGAAAAAAGTGAGATTCAACTCTGTTAATAACTGGGAGAAAGGTTTGAAGAGAGGCTGTGAGGATAGTAAAAATCTTTCAAGTGGAATCAGGAAATCAGTTCCTGGCCAAGCACTTGACGCCCGACCGAAGGAATGAAGACTGAACTCTGTACTTTGTTTTATTTATTCTTTGAGACCTGTCTCACTATGTAGCCCAGGCTGGCCTTGAACTCACAGCAATTCTCCTGCCTCAGCCTCCTGGGTACTGGAATTTTGGTGCAGGCCACCCGCCCAGCTTGAAGACATGACCCTGAACAGCTTCAGTACCTCAGTCTACCGGCTCGTTACACACATCAATCTGAGTATGAACAGACCTCTAGCATTCCCTCTTTTTTCTATCATTAATACATATCAAAAAACCATCTTACTTAGGAATGAAAGATCGTAAGAGAAAGAATTTTTGTTATTTAGTTTTTTGCAGTGTTAGGGATCAAACCAGACCCTCAGACTTACTAGGCAAGCACTCTACTACTGAGCTTCATCCCTCAGAACGTGAAGTTCTGATACACAGATTTCAACGCTGAGTCTAATTTGGATTATTTTTTTCAGCACGGGGGATTGAACCCAGGGCCTCTGCGCTGAGTTACATCTCCAGGCCTTTGTATATTTGGAAGTAGGTCTCACTAAATTGGCCAGGCTGTTTGAACTGGTGACCCTCCTACTTACCTCAGCCTCCCAAGCACCTGGGTTTATAGGTCCGAGGTACACACGCAGCTAAAAAATTTTAAAAATTAAGAAAGCCTTCAATTAAACCATGATTGGGAGAACAGGGCAAAGAGCACAATTTTGTTCATAAAAGCAATGGGAATAATCAAGTAGAAATTATAGCTGTCAATCACTAAAATGTGGTTTTGAATGACAAGGTAGACCAGTTCAATTCAAAGCAACGAGTACTTTTTAAAATGCTAGTCGGTTTCTCCACTAGAAAAATCACTTTGCCAATATCCAGTGGCAGATTTAAACATCTAAGTAATGAGACAAAGTGACTGAAATTCTGCCAATGTCCAGTCTAGGAAGAAACGAGGCAAGGTCACAGAAGCACGGAGGACAGACTGGGAGAGCACAAGGAAAACCTTCCAACAGTCTGGGGCCTAATTTTGCGAACAGAAGATAAATATATGAGACAAAGCGGTAGAACTGAGAGCTGGATGAGGAGGGGGGTCGTTCAGGGCAGCAGGGGGCAGCTGAGTGGACGGCACTGCGGAGGGGGGAAGCTGCTTTGGTGGGCAGCGGCAGGCGGTAGCAGAGGAGCTCGCTCCATCAGTCAGTCTGCTGCACCTGTGGACGTGCGGGCTCTGGTCACCGCACAAATCAGGGACAACGCGCACGGCGCACGGCCAGTGGGCTGCTTCTACCGCTGGGAACTCTCACAGGTTTGCTGTCACTTGTACAGAGAAATGTGACCTTCAAGAAGGGTTCTGCCGCACATGCAGGCCCCACATGCTCGCCTTCTCACGCCACGTGAGAGAAAACAGGGCTGGGAAAACAATCTTGGCCTAAAGCAGAATGTTCCAGGATAAGTTTATTTTCCTGTAAAGTACTCAGTACTCTACTGGACACACATCAGTAAGGTGAATCAGGATAATCCCTGCACGTATATAAACGCCTCGTGAAACATAACTGAGACTCTATTTCTTGTAGAATGTCTTTTATTTCTGGGCATAAATTGTTGAATGATACAAAATAAATTTTACCCCACAAAGGTGCATTTCTGACAATAAAACAAGGCTAATTACTGAAAGATGTATCACCTTCATTTATGTTGTAGGTTAGGGAACATGGGTAACTTAAAAATAATCAAATTACTTTATTTTAGTAATATTTGACATAGTTATAACAAGAGGAAAAAGTTAACAACTTAAAGCGATAATCAAACAAAAGCCTGCCTATTGTGTTATTAAAAGTAGATTCATGAATTACTACTTCTGGTTAGCATTTGTTAGTTCCTTTGTGCGTGGGCTGGCTCTAAGCGTTTTCCTTGTGGTACAGCCCTGGGAGGTAGGTTTCACTGTCACCACGTCATCATCGTCATCACCTCCGTTTAGAGGAGAAAGCTGAGGCACAAAGAGATAAGCAGTTTGCCCACGGTCACGCACTGAGAGGTGACACGATTGGGACTTGAACCCAGGCAGACTGACAAAACGCATGTGATTAAATTAAAGCGGAAAAGTCAGGAATTAAAAATGGGCTAGGCTTCTATTTACAACTCTTCTAGTCATAAACCTACAGGATAAAAATAGTCACCTTAGAATATCAGTATCATATTTGAAATTCATAATTCTGGATCTTTGTCTTGGCATATGTTTTGACAATTAAGACAATTTTTACAAATAAATGCAGAAACAAATCAAGGATAAGATGTGGAAGAGAATAACAGTTCTACCATATGTTTGGTTTAATGTTTGCTTGTGCATAGAAACTGTTCATCAGTAAATAAGGCCTAAATGTGACAAGGTTTTTGGTTTCATCGGTTAAATTTCCACCGTATTCCAAGTTATTTTCCCAAACAGGTGTGAACATACTTATCATTTGTATTACGTATGTAAGAAAAAGCCTGATAAATTATATACATGTGTATATATGTGTGTATAACTTAGAAGCTATTTGCAAATTTCAAATTTACTTTGTGATTTATGCTTATACATATCTTTTTAAAGTCTTATAATAATTCAATAAAAAATGAAGTGATTTTTGAAAACACTCTTGACATCTCTTCGGTTTTGGTGTTTGTCATGGACAAACTCTGGGAGTATATAAATACCTGTGTAGGGATCTGGAAGCTGGAGGGTGATTTCACTACCGATCACGAACACCCTTTCTAGATCTGTGGGTTTCTACTTGTTTGGCTGTTTCCCTGTGGTTTTGTGAGACAGGGTCTCGCTGTGTAGCCTGGCCCGGCCTTGAAATCATGACCCACCCGCTTGAGCCTCCTGAGTGCTGTGGCACCACTCCTGGCTCCACATCTGCATAGAAAAATAAAACCCACATATATGCTAAATTCTAAGACTGGCCCTCATTACAAGCTGACAACTGATTATTACGTCTTGAACTTGGGATATAAAAAATATTAAATACAACCAAAGGAAACAAATTTCCCCAATTAATAAAAATACAAAGTTAACATGTCACTTGCATGTTGATGTGTTTTGTGTTTCAGATGACCAAGCCAAGTGTTCAGATACTTTACCAACCTGTACGAATACTGATGGATAATGTAATTCAAAATGCCCTGCCGAAGAGGATTATTTTCAGAATTTGGTGAACACTCTGGATTTCTCAAGTAAAAAGCAAAGCTGCTGCCACAGATGAATGAGGCCACGGTGTTTTTTTAAAGATCTGCTATTCAAATCATATTTTTGTAAATATAAAAATATAATTTAAAAAGGTATTTTTGGTGGAAGACAGATGATATTCAAGTCTCTTTTCCGTTAAGCAGTTGTTTCTGGTGATGAAGAATGAACTGGTAAAGCAGTTAACAATACATTTTCCAAAGACACCATAGGGTCTGTGTAGTACTGTAAAGCAGGATGAAATCCTTTCTGCTCTAAATACTGGATTCGGCCTTGATCAATCAGCAGTTTACAAAGATGTCCTATTTTCTTCTTTTCTTCAACAGTAAGAAGCCTAAGTTGAATAAACATACAAAAAATTATTAAAATTTCATAAAGGCTTATAAAGATTACTTTAGTCATTTTTATTTATCAAGAAGCTGTTAAGTATGTTATGTCCATGCCTCTAAGACATATGTTAGGGTCAAAATAAAAATGTATTCTAGCTTACTCTAAAATTATCCTGGAAAATATATATTTATGAATAAACTGTTCTAATAAAAGAAAGTAGCCCCCTTATTAATGGTTTTACTTTTTTATGGGTTTATTTCTTGTTTTTTGTTGTTGTTGTTGTTTTGGTTTTTCTCCGGTACCGGGAACTGAACTCACAACCTTGCGCTTGCCAGGCAGGCGCTTTGCCACTGAGCTAAATCCCCAGCCCCTTTTTTATGGGTTTAGGTGACTGAGCTTGTGTTCTGAAAATATTACATAGAAAATCACCCAAGTAAACAGCGTAGGCATTTAAACCAGTGCTGTTAGGAGCAGCGTGACCTGCGCCAGCCCACTTCCGCCCGCGGCGGGACCCATCTGTCTAGCACAGCCTCGCTGTGCACAGTTCCCGCCTGCTGGTCATCAGACTGAGTGTGGCGGTACTGCAGTGCTGGTGCACAGGGCTTGGTACCAGCCAGCTCCAGCCATCCACCAGGGGTCTCTGAACGCCTCCCCACCGACAGGGAGGGGAGCGCTGCCCTGCAAGCAACTGCACAGTACCCCTCTCCAGCTGCGCGGCAGGAGCAGCCACCTACCCGGGCGAGCCGCCGGCGCGCTGCCCCGCGCCTCTGCCCTCGCCGCCGCCGTGCTGCCCGCTCTCCTCGGTCAGGTCGCGCCTTCTCTCGGGGGCCGTGTCTGAAGATTCCAGCGACGCGTCCTGCATCCCACAAGTCGCCCAGCTACTCATTCGCTGGAAATAGTGGAACTCCACTGCTCCAAGGCCTAGCGCCCTGAAATATTCTTTGCCCACATAATGTCTCCAATCACACCTGTGGTGACAACAGAGCGCAATAACAATGCCGGCCACGGGGGTCCGCTTCTCTGCGACACTTTTCTCACTTCTCTCCTTGGGCAAAGTGTTAATTTCTTTTTCTGTTTTATCATTCTTTACGCGTTTGGCTAAGGGCTCTTCACTCCTTTCCTCATAACTGGCAGCACAGGTTTCAACCAAACATCGTAATGCAAGATCTGCAAACACAATTATGTGGCCCCCAACCACATCATCTTTAAAAGTAAGTACTCTTTTCGCATTTCTCAAACAGCATGGTTTCTAAAAACCCAACAACAAAAACGATAAAAGACCTACTTAGCTTTACACTTGTATCACAAATCAGCTTTGTGCAAATTTGTTCTCTTCTGTCTTCGTTTCTCTAGTGATTTATTTTGCATAAAGCCTACTTCCCAGTAAAGCTATCTGAAGCTCTCTACAATCTGAAAAATCTATGTTCAACTGCTTGGACTGTTTCTCATTTCTTCTACCCTGGCTGAGGAAATGACTTACATAAAAAAACACTCGGCCAGGTGTGGGGGCACACGCCTGTAATCTCAGCATTCTGGGAGGCTGAGACAGGAGGACTGTAAATTCAAGCCCCGCCGAAGTAATTTACGGACTCAGTGAGACTCTATCTCAAAATAAAAAATAAAAAAGGGCTAGGTGTCTAATTCAGTGTGGGGCCTTGAGTTCAGTCCCTGATACAGGGGGAAAAAACTAAACCAAAACCAGGAAACGTTTATCTACCTATACTTATATTTCATAGGCGTTTTAAGGCCGAGAAACACAAAGAAATGAATTAAGGACAACAGTCCTGCTCAGCATATTGGTGCTGCACTAGGGAAAGAAACGAGTCTCGAAACGTAGGATGTGCAGAGGCGACATGGACTGAAGTTGCAAAGGGCCTCCGCGCGCGGAAGGCAGGCTCTGCTGAGTCGGCCTCCTCCACTCAGGCCTGCGGTCACAGGGTCTAACGAACGCCTTCTGCGTGTAAAGCTCTGAGGATGTATTGACGCACACATACAAATTTAGAGTGGTACCGCTTCATGTTCAAATGAAAAAAATCAGTACCTTTAAAATGTTTTAAATGGATTTTTGATGACGATGAAAACTTACATCATTGACAAGATTTCAAAGATCACAAATATACACCATAAAAACCCACATTTTCTCTCTGATTATACATATTGTGTCTGAGCAATAAAAAAAGAATGTATATTTCAAAGTTTTATTACCCTAAAATATTAATGAATATTAAATGATCTGATATTTCATTAGTAAATTTAATTCAATATATGAATTTAAGTCAACAAACGTTATTGGGAACCTATTATTTGGAGCAAGTGATAGCTAATCTATTATTTCATGAACTATTATTTTCTTCCTTTCTTTCCTTCTTTTTTCTTTTTAATTTTGAGATGGGTGTCTCCCTACGTTGTACAGGCTGGCCTTGAATTTGCAATCCTTCTGCCTTAGCCTCCAGAGTACCTGGGACCACAGCTGTCACACTGCACGGGGCTTCTAAAAAATATATTCAGGCACCTAAGTAAACTTCAGTGACTTAATTAATGATTTTCAGAAATGACAATAACCAGAAAAATGTTAAAAGGACTAAGTTATTTCAAAATAAAAAGGAGTTTTAACCCTCTATTTTAACGCCTTTTTATAATGATTTTTTTGTTGTTGTTGAGAAACAATCTCACTCCGTAATTCAGGCTGGCCTTCAATTCTTGGCAACCCTCTTGCCTCAGTTTCCCGAGGGCTAGGACAACAGGCAAGAGCCACCATTCCTGGCTTCTGCAATGATCTTAAGGGACAGAGCGACACACTCAGAAAGGGAGGCGAGACAACAAACCGGTGCTAAGATTCATTCATTCATTCATTCAAGCATGCTCTCAGTTTTGGTTAGACGCCAAGCACTGATTAGGAGAATTAGTTATCTAAACAGTTAAGACGGTAAGTTCAAGTTGCACAGAGGGTATTCCCATAGTACTAAGCAAGCGCGTCTTATGTAAGGAGGCTCCCTGAAAGTGGTGACGACTGAGCTGAAGGATGAGTGGACACTAACTAGATTTGGGGTGGGACGACAGCGGAACCCGAGGCACAGCAGGGACAGTACGGTGCGTGGGGAAGTGCACAAGGTCTGATGCTGCTGAACTGCGAGGCTGGCGAGGGCCTTCCGAAGCAGGGCAAAGACGCGTTACGGGTCTGACGGCCTGAACACCGACGCTGCAGCGCAGGGAGGGGAGGCGGCCAGGACCTAGGCAGAAAGGTGGCCCTCGAGAAGGGGAGGAACTGGGAGAGAGCGCCACAGAAGAGAGGGAGCCAGAAGGTCAAGAGGACGAGCAGCAGCAGGAGCAGCAGCAGCGATGAGGGGAATTCGGAGTAGAGTGGGTCGTGGGAGCAGAGAGACGGCCGCTGCAGCGCACACCTCTGAGAAATCCCAGTTAGACGAGCCGAGTCAGAGGCGCGCGGCCCCCAACCCCACGGGTGGGTCTGTTCACCTCAGAAGGCTTTTATGGGGGTTAAAGAAGGTGTGTGAAGTACCCTAAAAACTGTGGAGGACACCCTGTTACAGTACTCAGTCTTGTCTTGGGTTCCCGCGTGCACGGGTGAGGGAACTACCAGAAGCTGTGAATAAGATGTAACAGCTGACGTTTAGTGGGCACGTGGTATGTAACTCTGTAAGTTATCATCGCTTTATTACGGGGGAGGCAACCGAAGCTCAGAAAGGTTAAAATTATACAGAAGAGCTGAAAGCTAGACTGACTCCTAAATGCACGATGTTTCAACTTTACCATGCTAGATCAGATGAAAAAAGTTCTAAGACGAGATAGCTTAGATTTTTTCTGGCCTAAAATTTCTTTTTCCCCAGAATCCTGAAAACCAATGATCTTCTAGTGGGGCAGGTTTCTGATACTTCCCGACCACCTCCTTTAAAGAAGCCCGTACCATGCCGGGTGTAGTGGTGCACGCCTGTAATCCCAGCACTCGGGAGGCTGAGGGCAGGAGGATCATTGTAGGTTCAAGACCAGCCTGGGCTACAAAGTGAGCTCAAGGCCAGCCTGAACTGCAGAGTGAGACCCTGTCTCAAAAAAAAAAAAAAAAAAAAAAAAAAAAAAAAAAGCCTGTATCTTTTGGGGTGGAATTATAGAGCTTCTCTAAATGAACTTTTTCTCTTTTTTTCCACTGAAATATAAGCCAAAAAGCCTTACAGCCCTATAGAACATATGACTTATACACAAAATTCTTAATTCATCTTGTGAAATGGTCAACATGAGCAAAAAAAATAGGCAAGTCCTGTGTCTGATACAATACAGGGTCAGCGCAACTATGAAGACTGATGAGCTATACACGTAAGAAATCTAAACTCCTCAAAGGAGACGGCTGCGGTGGCCGGGGCCGCTTAGGCTCTCACAGTGTGCTCATCTAAACGTCAGCGCGTTTGCATACCTGTGGCCACACCGCAGAGATGCTTCCCAATTCCTACCACAGGCAGCTTTCCTTCCCGGAGCACGGGGATCTTGTCTGAAATTAAAGGAAGAATTAAGTTAGCACTTCTGTGGGGTACAAGATTTAACGTGGTCTTCTATGAGAAAAAATTAATTAGAACTTTAATTGTAATCCCAGTGATTCATATATAAATCCTGGGTTGTTTCTCAGTGCTGTGTTAAAATCAGTGGATGGAAGATGCTGCTGAGATATATTATTTTCTTTTTAAATAACAAACTACAAAAAAGGTAGAGAAAGAGCATTAGGATGACTGAGGCACATGCGCATATGAAACGTCAATTTCAGTGACAGCACAGTATAAAACTCTGGGAAGTTTCTTATATGCAGTAGCAAGGCCGACAGCCACATCGCCTTTCCTTCAGTGATTTTGGGGAAGTCACCTTGTCTGTAGGAAGAAGGCTAGTTCATGGTATGAAAAGACACAAAATTAGCTTAAATAAGACAAAGAAGCAATTCAGGACATAGTAGCAAAACGTTTAAACTCTACCTAAATACAACAGCTTACTTCCACTTGATACTGAAAAACCTTTTTAAGATTTCAATCGCAATTCAGTTTACATTCGTTACATATAAGATTCTATGTTAATAACAATGGCTTATTTGTTTTTTTCTGAAGCACCCGTTCTGCATGACTGGATTTCTAAGCAACTTGCCGCATGACTGAAACATCTGTGATTTATGGTAAAGCAACAGAACGTTATGCAACTTACTCAGACACAAGTGCTGAATGTCAATTTGAAGTCTTTCGAACACTGAATTTTTCCTTCTGTGTTTGCCATCTACCTGCATGAACAGAAGATTACTGTAACAGTGATTTTCCATGTCACACAAAAGCTTAATGAAAATATTTCTATTTGTTTTCCCAATTCAGAGTAAATGATTTCCCATCTTACTTTTCACTATTAAAAAAACAGAATAACAAAATTTAAGACTGCACAATCTAAGCTGGACACAGCGGCACACGCCTGTAATCCCAGCACTCTGGGAGGCTGAGGCAGGAGGATTGCAAGTTTGAGCCTAGCCAGGGCATTTTGTGAGTTAGTGGGATCCCGTCTCAAAATAAAAAAATGGAAATAGGGCTGGGGGTGTAGCTTAGTAGGAAGGGCTGAGTTCAAACTCCAGTACAGCCCTCCCCCAAAGGCACAATTTTTGATGAAAATTTCCAAACAGTATTACGTATGTTTATAAGGTTTAAACTTTTTATCTGTTATCATGCATACATTATTTCTTTTAACCTTAAAAATGTGCGACTCCTTTACGAAGAAACTGCTAGCCAGCTCCTTTGTTTGTCACTGGGGTTCTTCTGTGAGCTCACTCCTCACCCCCTGGAAGACCACAGCCATTCCATCTGCACCCGGCGCCTGTGAGCCAGCCATCTACATCTGCCCAGGGCTCTCCGAGGAGCAGGAGGCACATCTGGCTGTGAACCAGAAAGCGCTATCCTCCACAGCAAGCCGCACACTTCTAGAACTGAACTCACTACTTCTTCCTCCAAACCTATCTTTCTCGTCCGCCGTCCACACTTCCTGCCTCAGGAAGAGTGCCACTTAGTCACCTAAGCCATACAAACACTACCCAAAGTTGTGTGTTTCTCAAGCTCAGGAACAGTAACTCACCAAGGTCTTGGCTTCCGACACCTCGACATTTCTCACACACTTTCCCTCTGCAGCCCACTGCAGTGGCCTTGCTCTCTGGCCCATTTCTTACCTCGATTATTTACTGCATAATATTATCTTATTATTAATCTTACTACTTCAAGTCTCAGATTGTTCTGATATAGTTTTAATTGTACTTCTAAGAAAACTTTGAAAAACCCCTTTAGACTTCACTAGTGCTTATGTAGCCTTTTGAACTCCTCAATCGTCACCTCCTCTATGTAATCTCCCACGCAACCCACACTAGACTAAGGTTGGTTCACTACCTTCAGGGCCCCGTAGCATCAGGTAGTCACCATTATTGTAACATACTCAGCATACAGAACCAAAATTCTTGCATACTTGCACAACCAGCTATAAGCTTCTTGAAGGCAAGAACCAAATTTTAGCCAGGCGTGGTGGCACACACCCATAATCTCAGCACTTGGGAGGCTGAGGCAGGAGGATTTAGGCCAGCCTGGAGTACACAGGGAGTTCAAGGTCCACCTGAACTATGTAGAGAGATGCTGTCTCAAGAAAAAAAAAAAAAAAAGAAACAGAAAAAAACCAAAGCAGTACATCTTTTCCGCTGTGTCCCAGCGCATTGTCTACCCGCTTCTGCCTCCTTTCTAAGCACAAGCCACGCGCCTTCCTGAGCATAAAGTACGGAAGTTTTCCTGGCCGGCTCTCCTCTCAGCCTCCTCACTGTGGAAATCCGCTTCATCCCTCTCCCCTCACACAGAAATGTCCCCGCATCTCCTCCTCGCTCCGGGCACTTGGTCACACTGCTCTGGCTCCCTAGCACGCGTCTCAGACCCTCACCTAGCAAATGCTGCTTCACCTTTCAGCACCCCGTGGAGGAGTCACTTTCGCTGTGTCGTTGTTCTCTATCCCTTCCCTGGTGTAACATGTGTCGCGCCTTCCTCTGAAGCCTGCACTACGCTTTGTACGGACTGCACCCTCCATATCTTAATGCATTACTACAACTGTTTATTTGCTTCTCTCTCCTTTCTAAATAGAAGCTATCTCTCCTTTTCCTATCTCTGCAATGGCCTCCTCTTTTTTTAACTTTTTATACCCAACGTCTATTATGGTGCCCGAGAAAACACTCAATCGGTGTGCAGGAGTCAATAGTAAGTGGTAGAAAAACCCCAAGACATCACGCAAACCTATACGTGCAGCCATTTACTTGCTTACTTACTTAGAGACAGGGTCCCACCACATTGCTAGGTTGTGCAGGCTGGGCTTGAACCGAAGTGACCATCCTGCCTCAGCTTTCCAGAGTGCTTAGGCTACAGGTACACGCCACCACACTTGGCACCTCTGGCCCCTAAAGCCCAGGTTAAGCTTGGTTCTTTCAATATTTTCCTATATTTGCAAATAATTTTAAGAATTCAGACCACAGTCTATCAAAATGTAGATTTAAAAAATTTATCTTCAGTTTAAAAGTTTTCAATATACTTAGAGCTGATAAAAAGCTATAATGAAATGCACAAAAGAGAAAAAAATCATTTTAGAAGACATGTTTCTATCATTTTTTTTCCTAAATAAGAAAAATTCATTTGGTTAAAACAAAGTTTAGTTACTAATACACTGAAATTGTTACACATACCTTGAATCTTGTGGTCACTTTTTCTACTAGGATGAAGTGAACTTTTTCAGCATCTTTTAAAGCAATATCAACCCAATGAGATAATTTTCCTTTTCCTGCTCCAAACTCAACAAAGCATCTTCTTGGGCCAAGTAACTTTAATTTTTCAATGTTACCTAAAATAGAAGCCTACAAACGTCACATGATTATTTTACAAACTAAAGCAAACACATTTAGCTCATATGGGAAACAGCAAGGTAATTTCTACATAAGGCTGTAAGGACACAATGATAATGCGACTTTAAGTTTTTTTAGTCTTACTTTCAAATACTTAATACTCTACTCAGAAACATATCCATGCCAAATATTTTTAATATGTGTTTATACATATTTTTGAAATTGAAATATTTTTGAACCCTGAAAAGTAAAGTAAGTAAAATTTCATTAAGAACTAGGTTGAGAAAAAATAGAATGCTAGCTTTAAATGAATGAACAGGACAGGTATTGGGGCCCAAACATACCTGTTGCTTTAGGTGCTTGATGGCAGAATCACCATTTTTGGGGTCACTAAGGGCACCCTGTAACGCCGGATGGGACATAATGTGATCTTCAAGTGTAGAATTCAAACCTGCACCAAATATAGACGTGATACCTTAAGCAACCAAGTACAAAAGTACAGCACCTTCAACAATGATAGTAACATCTTATAAACCAGAATGGCATCAACTCATATGCCACCTAATTATTCTAAAATAATTTAATGAGCAACTTTAGGCTAGTTAGACTTACCTTTACTTGCTTTTCTCAATTTCTTAATTAAGTTTTCCAACTGCTCTTCAGATAGAGAGGAAACTGGAACCTATGTACAGAAATAAAACTAAATAATGTGGCCAAAAATTGCTTTAAAGCACCGAGGTAGAGACGGAGTAAAGGCTTCACAGTTGGGCAAATCCCACTGGCAGCGGAAGCTTTTCTCGCTGATAAAATCTCTTCCCTCGCTGCTATCAGAACGGTCCAACCGCGAAGCGTCCACTCCGTCTCTGCCATGCTACTTGCATCAGTCTAACGTTCTCAGGATTGGGAAGTGGAGACTGAGAAAGGCCTGAGGCAGAAGGGACCCGGAGCCCCACTGTATCTTGTTCTGGGGCCCGGGCTGGTCTGGCAACCAGTCATCACTGATAACACTGATTCTACAGGAAAATGCATTTTACATTCAAAGCAACGAATTTATTCCAGACTATTCCCAACAGTAAAACAGTTTACAGATATCTTTTAAATATTAAGTGAAAGTACTTACTAGTTGCTCAGGTACTTCTGTTTCATCTTTTAAGCCCGCATTAATATCTTGAATAAAGAATTCCTTGACAAACACAAAACAAAACCGTAATGTTATTAACATGAAGCTCACAAAAATTAAGCTAAACTGCTTCTTCCCTTCATCCCACACTCTACAGCTGCCACTCTCCCTTCCTCCCATTCAGTTAGTTTTTTTTTTTTTTGGTTTTCTTCCGGTACCGGGAACTGAATTCACGACCTCACACTTGCCAGGCAGGCGTTGTGCCGCTGAGCTAAATCCCCAGCTCCCTCATTTAGTTATTAAATAATTACTGAGCGCCTGCTATGGTACCTGCTTCGGTTTATGTCAGTGATGGCGAACCTTTGAGAGCCTTCAGTGACACAAACAGCCCACGGCGGCACACCTGCCATAGGTTTGCCACCAGTGGTTTAGATGCTGGGAATTCAACAGTAACTAAAGGAAGAGACAAACCTCACGTTCACGGATTTCATGCTCTAGTGAGACCGTTACGTAAAGAAGCATTCACAGTCTAACAACTCCACTGGTAATTTTATTAGAGTTTTCACCTGTTTACAACAGACTGAGGACTGAGTCCACTTTGCCTTGTGGTGTTAATGCGAAAACAAACGCACACACTGCTTATCAGACATGCACAAAGTACAGCTGTGCCATGGGAGCAAGCCGATTTTTTCTGCTTTAAAATAATTTTTAAAAATGAAAGTAAGAATTCCTGTAACACTGCATTATTTAAATGAACATAATGAGATCCTTCCAGTTCATCTGCAGAGATACAAACTCTTAGTGAAGACCTCAATCAGCTTTGTCCGGTGGCATTCCTGCGATGATGAACATGTTCTGTGTCTACCCTCAGCAGACGGCAGCCACCAGATGTGAGTACGGACACTGCAACCAGAAGTGGGGTTTGCAATCCGATTTAGTTTTAATTCATTCAGATTTAGTCACATGAGGCTACTGGCTGCCACACTGGACAGTGCAGATCTACATGAACGACATCATACTATTTCTGTGAATCCTATTTTAAAAGTGCGAGCAACTCCTGGGGACACTGTGTTATGAAGTAACTTCTGTCACACAGATGGCAGAAGGGCGATGTCCTGAGTGTGTCTTGCTACCACTATTTACACGCTTAACAAGGGAGACAGGTGACTGAGTAGATCGGGTGAAGACTGCGGGGATCTTGTCATGTTTTGTTGGATGCCTGACAAAACTACAATGGAAAGGTAGCCATAACCGTGACAACTTGAGAAGTCTCAGTTTGGAATGCTTACAAAGAACGTTCCAGGTAAATTATGCTGCGGATTGAATTTCTGTATGTGAAAATTATTTACACGGGAGACATTTATCACCAACTTTCCTTTAGTATGCAAAAGTTTTACCAACTGATAAGAGTTTCAGAAGGCCGGGCAGGGGGCTGGGGATTTAGCTCAGCGGCAAAGCGCCTGCCTGGCTAAGTGCAAGGTCGTGAGTTCGGTTCCCGGTACCGGAGAAAAACAGAAGGCCGGGCAGAACGGTGATATGACTCCACCTGGGTTTCAGGTTTCGTGTGGTACAGTGCACCTGATCCAGAGCGCTATGCTTCCTCCTGTGTTTCCTCCCACTGCTATTATTCCCTTCCTTGCCACTGTCCTAACATGCAATGGAGTCTGCCCAAGGTATTTCGTTTCTCAAAAATTCACTTATTCTTTAAACTTTTCCCAGAACACATAATCTACCTGCTTGCTTTCACCGAAACTTGGCACTTAGGTAAGGGAGATATTTGCAAATAAAGCCTATTTTTCTCTTTCTACTAAAGGGGCTAGGGCTTAAGGCTGTGGTAAGGTAGTTTTTCTTTTTTCTTTTATACCTTACTGTTAGAATACTGTTAAGCTTATAGGATCTGGCCTATGAAGAGGTAACTGGCATTGTACTGTATGGGGCTATTTTGTCGCCAAAATGCTTGAGAAGATGAACTACTGGGGGACAATTTTCCTGTGGGTCTCCCAATTTTCCACAAGTTTTACACGCAGGGACACTAAGTTTGTCGCAGGCTATTTTTTCAAGGGTGTTTGTATACAAGCCCCCTTGGAGGACAGAGATGGTATCCCCCTCTAGATTACTGTACAGTAGAACAAAGAAAAATGTCTACTTAGGGAACGCAGATCAGGTAAGTTTGTTTACTCCCCTATTTAAAAAAAGATTCATATTTCCCGAGCTTGGAACTCCCCCAGCAGTCCACTGTCCATCTTCTGGTCATTATCCAATACTCATGACAGACTCTGACAGTAAGTTGTCCTTTCCATTCCAAATCTAACCGAAAGGATCAGGTTTACAAGACACCCAGTGTAACAGGTTTTTGTTCCTTTTAAATTTTAAGCCTTCATGTTACATTAATAAAGTACTTACAGGGGCCACTGGACCCTGAATTTGCTGTGAACCATGTAACCTGTGCAGTCATAAATTCTATTGACCCAGTATCTGACCACTGCTTTGTAATTTGCTAGGAAAATATACCCTCTCACCCTCATAATATTCTACCTTAAAGGTTTCTACTCACTTTTTCTCATTAATTTCTGACTGCCATTTCATGCCACCCAGTCTACATGTCCGCTCTCATTCATACTGTCTTTCACCATCAGATCTTTCTGTCAACACCCCCTGGCAAAATCAAACTTATATTATATTAACATGATAGGGTCTCCTTCACTGAACTCACTCTCAACAAAAGGAGATGAATGCACTTCCCTCCACAGCTACGTTACTTGCAGATATGTATATATACACAGGCATACATCTGTATTTTATGTTAATAGTTTTGATGTTTAACTGCCAAAATATCACTATGTGTTGAACACTTTACTTTGTTAATATAATCTTTAAAATTTTTCTATTCTGTTCTTAATTTAAATTTTTAAAAAATATTTTTGTAGTTGGGTGTGGTGCTACACACCTGTAATCCCAGCATTCAGGAGGCTGAGGCAGGAGGATCACTGGGCGTCTGAGGCCAGCTTGGGCTATATAGTGAGTTCAAGACCAGCCTGAACTACATAGTGAGACCCTGTCTCAAAAAAATTTTTTTATCATGTACATGTACATGAAGCTTACAACATGATGTCATGGGATACACCCACATGATGAAACAGTTATTATAGTGAAGCAAATTAACATATTTATCATCTTACATAGTTACCTTCTTTCCTATTCTATCCTGTTAGGAACAAAAAATTGAACTTTTAGCCCCTGCTTGACTGATCAAAGGTTATCATGGCACTATATATCCCTTGGGTTTAGATAAGTGCACTCATAAGTTAATGTGACCGTGATGGCTTGTGTCTCGATGTCCCCCGGAAGACTCATGCAATCACAGGTGGGGATTTGTCAGAGGCGGCTGGCTGTAGAGTGTGTGACGCTGGGATCCATTCACGATGCAACGCCGGGATCAGGGGCACTAGGATTGAGGGTGTAGGTGTGATCCACCCTAAGAAGGCTGATAAAATATAGTGGATAGAAAGAGTCGTGATTGTCCCTTTTGCTCTGCTACCTTCTACCTGCCATGAACTGTTTGTCCTCCGGGATGTCTGTCTGCCACGCCACCGTGCCCTGCAGCCAGCTGACTGCGGGGTGACACCCCTACAAACTGTGAGCTAAATAAACCTTTCCTCTTTTAACTTTGGGTATTAGGTATTTTGTCTCAGCAAAGAGAAAAGTAACTAAGAATGACTTTTACCTCCAATATGAAGCCTGCCAACTACTGCTGAAGAAAAGCCACCTAGTCACTGGGATGGTACAAGTGCAAATTTATTATCTTTATATTCAGTCTAACTCTCAACAATGCCCAACAATTATTCCTCATAACCATAGTTCTAAACCCTTCCTTCCTTCCGGAAATCTCCTACGACAACCTCACCCCTCTCAAACACCTTGTCCCTTAACTCAGAAGGAAAAGCACAGCCATCAAGTAAGTTTTCCAATTAATTTTCCCGTCCGCTCAAATTTGCCTGAACTGATACTTACCTTTACTACTTCCCAGCTATCTCAACGGAAGAGCTAGCCTCCTCCTCCTCCCTTTACTCCATTCCCTATTCTTGTGTGCTTCCTGAGAAGCCTCGCAGTGTCGGCGATTCTTTTATTTGCAAAGTCTTCCTTTCTCATAGCTAAGCATAGAAATAGTTGCATTTCCTCATTTTCAAACACACTCCCTCTGCCCCACATCCTTTCTGACTGCCACTAACTTTCAAGTTCCACTCACAGCCACAGCTGTCCTATTTGTCATTTATTCACATGTTCTAGTCCAATCTCTGCCCACCCCACCCTACGTAATACCAGTTTTGCTAAGGCCTTTGCTCTTTAATAACTATCATATCGCTAACCCAATGGCTTCTGCTCTGCCCTTCCCTTACGTAATCCCTGCCATGCTAGGCACACAGAACGTCATGTTACATGTTCCACTTCCCTAACTAGGTTGCAACGGTCTACGCAATGTGCCTGGCATGATGTCTGCCAAAGTCGGTGGCGGGGAAACTATGGCATGCGTGCTGTGGGGGGCTGTTACCACTGAAAGCTCTAAAAGGCTCGTCATCACCGGCAAGCGTGTTCACCTAGTATCTGCGGAATAAACAGATCCCTCTCTTTTTCCCATAGTTACCCTTGGGTAACTCAGAATCCAAAGCTTCACCTATGCCTGGTATACATTTGACTTCCAAATTCTGATTAATGGTTCCACCTTCCTGCTGAATTTCAGACTCATAGAACCAACCCCCAATTTTCAGGAAGTCACTAAGTTTTATTGAAACTGCTCCCTCCAGGATTCCGGAATTGATCCCCACCTTCTCGTCTTCTCTAAGCCAGGCCCGTGCCATGCCCACCCGGATTTCAGTGGCAGGCTCCTCCCTGGTCCTCCTGATAACAAGCGACCCTCCATACTGCTAATGTTTTCTAGGAGGAACATCGGACACCATTCTCAAGCTTAAAATCTTTTCATGGTTTTCCATCTATCAAAATGAAGTTCAAGGGTTTTTTGAAAATGTCATATGGTTTCTCAGTTCCACGGCTTTACATACACTGCTCTTCCTCAAAAGGAATTTTCTCCCTTTTCTTTGCCATATCAGGACTCGGTTCAAGCGTTATTCCCTCTGGGAAACCTCAACCCCTTGGAAGTGAGTTTAATTTTGATGCAAGGGGCTGGAGATTTAGCTCAGTGGCAAAAGCACCTGCCTGGCAAGCACAAGGTCGTGAGTTCGATTCCTGGTACTGGGAGAAAAAAAAATGTTTTTGATGCAAATGCATTCTCATCATATTCTTTCGTCTGATGTTACTACACAATATCCTTTATTTACAAGTTTACTTCACAGTCCTAAGCTCCTAGGGTCATAGTTCACTGAAATAAGTGTAGTAGGCAGCAAGTAAAGATGTTTCAATAAACAGTGAAATTATTTTCTGAACATTCGTGTTGCATAAAATAACATTCCCTGAACTAAGACCATAAGTAGATTTATAATCATGTATGTTCTATACACTTCACTGCATTTACCAAATTCTAGGCTCAAAGCAAAAGTCTTGTTAAAAATGAGTATTCACATTTACAAATTTCTAAGTACCGTATATATAAACATTACATACTATACATTTCACCATTCAATTTTACTGATCAGATACTTACAGGTTTTGGCTTCTCTCTTGAGTTACATTTCTTCAGATGCTTTGCTAGTTGATCTTCATATACTGTGCTAAATTTAAAGAGAAAACCTTAAATGAGACTTGTAACAATTACTGTTTCCAGGGAAGAAAAACCCTTATCTAATCCATACTTAACTGTTTTGGATCTAAAGGACACAGGATTCTTTTCCGAGCATTTTCTTCCTAATAAATCAAAAGAGATACATTTAAGAAAAGTATCAAGTTCATTAGTTACAGATACCAGATTAACTCCAATATATCTACAGTCCCAAAACAAGGCAAGTAAACTTCAAACGGATGTAATAAAAAATTAGCAAAATCAGGTCAGAGGGGTTACCAATAACAACAAACAAATCTTCTATCAAGCTAGCTACAGGAAAAAATCCAGCTTTGGACAGACATGGTCTCTAGATTCAAGCAAGTTATACAGAAGGCTTACATATCTAATATTAAATCTATGATGATAATAATAACTCTAATATGTGCTACTATCTTATGCACCAAGGAAGAAAAAATGTTAGTAATTTGCTTTTTTTTCAAATTAATTAAAAAAGCTGACAAAAATGGTGTCTGGCTGGGCATCACGCATACACCTGTAATCCTAGTACTCTGGGAGGCTGAGGCGGGAGGGCTGCAGGTTTGAGCACAGCCTCAGCAACTGAATGACTCAGTGAGATCATGTCTTAAAATAAAAAGGGATGGGGAGGTAGCTCAGTGCAAAGGCCCTGGGTTTAGTCCATAGTACCTCAAAATAAAATAAGAAATTTTAATTGGATTGTTTAGCACGTATAACCGTTTTAAATAAGTATATCTTACAGAACGGTGAAAAGCAAACTAATAAACCTATGAATTATTTCATATTTAAAAATGTGAAAAATGGCAATAAAACTTTTTAACAATTCGGCATGTGCCATCTCCCACTGGCTTTGCAACTTTTCATATAGCAGTTGCTATGTCCTTTCACTTTTAAATGACACGGATTTAACTATATATACTTAGAGAAAATGGAAAGCTGACAGTGTGGACAATTTGGTCTAACGTTCCATGTAAACCCGTATGAAATAGGATACTACAGTAGTTCAAAGCACAGGCCAATCAGACTGCTTAGGTTTGATTTTCAGCTCTATCAGCTACTAGCCCCATGACCCCAGGTAGGCTTACTGCCTCATGAAAGATCAGAATAATACTGCGTAATACCTCCTAAGGTTTATGAAAATTTGGTGGAGTTAAAAAAAAGTCGAAAGTTAGCGTAGTGCCAGCCACAACAGGACCAAGGACACACTCTTCACTTCTTCTCAGTTTACTTCCGTCCTCCCCATGAAACAACGCACACGAGGTTTTACAGAGAAGCTGAGAAATCTTCCACCTTTGTTCTGAAATGCTGTATATTAATTTTCCCTTATTTGCTGACTTCAAAATTGAGCTTGCAGCCAGGTGCTATGCGGTGTCCCTGCAGTCTCAGCTACTTTTGGGAGACTGAGGCAGGTGGTCCGATCTCTCCAGACCAGGAATTGGGGAACCACCTCGGTAACACAGACAAAAGTCTCTCGCTTCTGTCTCCACAAAGCTTAACTTCTATGCAAGAAGAGACGCTAACTTTCAAAGCCTAACCATAGAGTGGGAAAATGAAACACTTTCTTTAAATTTATCATCTGGGTTTGGAAGCAATTTGCCTATCTTAGAAGTATTGATATTTTGGGCTGGATAGGTATTGATTTTTTAGGGCGTTGTGGGGAGAACCGTCTCATGATTTAGGTCTTGCAGTGTCCCTGGCCTTCATGTATCAGATGTCAGTAACATTTCCCAGTTTTGACAATGAAAATGTCTGCAGACATTGCCATGTGTCTGACAAAATCGCCCCTAGCTGAGAACTGCTGGGTGAAAATGAGTGTAAGCAGTGTCATCAGTTATATATGACAGTTTTTAAGGAAAGAAGATAGCATCCAACTACATCACAAATTAGGGTTCGGCAGAAAGGTCACATTTCAAAGCCAGGCGTGGTGGCGCACACCTGTAACCCCAGCACTCGGGAGGCTGAGGCAGGAGGATCGTTGCGAGTTCAAGACCAGCCTGGGCTACAAAATGAGCTCAAGGCCAGCCTGAACTGCATAGGGAGACCCTGTCTCAAAAAGACAAAAAAAAAAAAAAAAAAAAAAAAAAAAAAAAAAAAAAAAAAAAGAATGGTCACATTTCAAATCCTAATTGTAGTCATGAAAATGCTTCCACTTGGTGTTCTGCAGGCTCCCTTCCAACCCTACCAGACATCACTGCTCCTGAGCAGGGATTTATCCACAGTCCGCCGCTGTCTCCACCCCCTGTCATTTCCCGGAGTTCTGGCTACAGGGTGGGGACACAATGCTTCTTCTCAGTCTTTAACCGAAGGACGCCTGCCGGCCCCTACAAGCAGCGAACTGTCCCCACACAAACCACGTATCCCAAACAAGCACGCCCTGTCTCGGAATGCTTCGTTCAGCTAAACCCCAGTCACACCGAAACCCGAGGTAGGCTGCGGCTGCGACGGGCGGGGGTGGGCGGAGGGGCCGATCTGCGCCGGCGTTTACTACAAGGATTGCACTTTGAAGACGAAACAAGATAATGCAAATAATACTGGACTTTCAGCAGACTGAAACCAGACGCTGGCCCACTCGGCGTACTCCGATCCTAGGTGCTCTGTATCAGCACCCTGCTCCTCTAGCGCTTGTCGTAATCTTCCTATCGTGTGTACAGTCTAAACTAGCCATCGGCGCACAACACGCGCGTAGGTACTGCCTGATACCACAGCTCTCTACATAGCCACCGTATATTACAGAAGACTACGCGCTTTTCTATCTTCACAGGGCGTCTTGCACACTCTGTGAACCTTTCCCACCCGACTCCAGCAGAGTAGTTCTGCACTGTTCTCTAGCGATTGCTGGGTTTACATTCATCTTTAAAGTTCCTTCCTAGTACACGCAGGAGAGGCGGCCACCTCACCCAGCAACAACGCGCAGACAGCACCTCGTGAGATCCGGGGCGCAGCGAGCGCTCCGCGAGTGCCCACGCCCGCGGAGGGCGGCGGATCGGGGCGGAGCGCCGCAGCCTTCGTTCCCCTCCGAGAAGAAATCGGGGCTCAGTCCGGGGCTCACGCTGGCCGCGCAAGCTCCAGA